TGTGGCCTTGCTGGTTCATTTGTTCAAAGCGACTTTTTTTGGTCTTGAGTTGGGTGGGTGGGGGGGGGGGGGGGGGTGGGGGATTTTTGAATTTTATGACAGTCATATTGCTGGTTCAGGGTGTTACCACTGTGAAGCATCCCTTCCTTTTTAGCTACATCTTGTAAATGTCTAGGAGCTGAGGAGGCCAGCTGCCAATGTTTTTGGAGGGAATTGTTGTCCCATTCCAAAAGTCTTCTTAGTTGGATGGAAACACACTTTTGCCTTGATGGCACCTTTCCAGATGTGTAAACTGCACATGCCATAAACACTAATAATGCATCTCCATACCAACAGATAGGCAGGCTTTTGAAAGGAGCCAACAGGCCAGATGGTTCTGACCTCTTTCCTAAGAAATATATAGCATCTGTGGTTTCCAGTGAAATGATGCTATTGGTTTCTACATGTTATAACTTTAACCAGCAATTGTGGATGGCACAACTGTGTTTACATACAATATGTGGTGGAAGTGTTCCTGAGCCCATGCAGTGAGTATCAGTGGTGTGGACGCAAGTCACATGACTTGGACTCCAGTCAGACTCGAGTCATTAATATTATGACTTTAGACTTGATTAAAAAAATGTTCAAAGACTTGACTTGGGACTTTTACACCAATGACTTGAATTGAACTTTGATCTGCTACTTGAAAATACTTGAATTATACTTGTTTCATCTGAACATGGAGTGCTGATTTTGCATTTTGCACAGAATATTTATTCTGGAAAATTATCGTTTAAAGAAGATTCTTGCAGCTTAATTTAACTAAACTGTGCAATAAAGGTGCAATTTTAGAATTTTTTTAACACTTTATAAGTTCAGCTGCATGTTTTGTCACAATTTGAGATACAGATTTTAAAAATAATGCTCAGTCCATTATTTACATTTAACATATAATTGCAACATCATTAAAAAAAAGACTTGAAAGAATTTGAAATTACAAGTTTCAGACAGTTGCCTGTCTTGACTTGAGACTACTTGACTGTCGTTGCTTGAGACTTGATCTATCCATCTATCTATAGTTTTTAATATGAAGTGTGAAGCGACACAAATTAAGCAGTCTAATGGGTTTGCACAGACTAAAACGTAGATTACTGTAATCCATCCATCCATTATCTTTTAACTGCTTCTTCCATTTTGGGTCACGGGGGTCGCCGGTGCCCATTTCCAGCAATCACTGTGCGAGGGGCGGGGGACACCCTGGACAGGTCGCAAGTTCATGCTCAATAATCCAGGTAAAAAATCAAACACAAAGAAACTGTCCAGAGGACCTGACTTAACTTTGTTGGATTTTTCTACCTGGATTATTGAGCATGAACTTTGATTTTTGTTGGCTTAAGTTATTTTTTAATAAACTGTGCTGTCAAAAGTTTGATTTAAACCAATTCAAGAAGAATACCCTACATTCACATGAAAGTATTAATTTATAGCTCTGATCCATGTCAACACCGTTTATTCTGTGCATGTTGTTAAAATACAAGATGAGGCAACAGAACACTATCATAAATTAACTTGTGCACCATGAATCTAAGCCACCTTCAGTTTTTCCATCTCTTCACTATTCAGTAATAATACAACATGAATGGGTTACTACAAAAAGACAATCCGATTCCATGAACATTTTTCACATCCAGTGCCTTTACAGAATAAAACACAGCGTAATTCGTCTGGACTGGCACAGATAGCTACATTTGTCTTACAAAGTACACATTTAGCAGGAAAAAGGAACATGAAATGAACATTCCATCATCCATTTACTCTCTTTACAGCTGAGTCCCAAATGTCACAGCAGCTGACTGACTGCGAAGATGTTGCAGCTAAAATGAAAAATCCAGCCACGTGGTGTTGGAAATAACTAAAAAGAACTTCTTACAATGATTTTTATGGTAAATTTACCGCCTGTTTTCAAAGGCAGTTTATTTTTAACAGGCGTTCCCACTCCATGTCAGTCTTGCATGAGTTTACGTTTGACGGTTGCACTCTCAGATGAGAGCTGAACAAACAGAGCCCCAGCTGCAGTACGTGCTCTCAGCTCGTACATGTCGTAGTCATGGGCCCATTCCACGTTTCCCCAACGTTGAATCTGTCAAGAAGGAAAAACAGAGATTAGTTTACGTGTTTCTGCAAAGAAAATGCTGCTCATTGGATATTTAACAACAGAAACCAGCAGTCCCAGCCCTTACAGTGCTTTGAGAACAGGTTGGATATAATCAGAGGTGATACTTCAGCTAACAAGTGAAGACTACAAATAATGAATTCTTTCGGATAATTCCTACCTGGTATTCCTCCTCCAGTCTGGAAAGCAGCACAGCCTGCTCCACGCTCAGGTGTCTGTCGATCATCCCCAGTGACAGCACCACAGACTTCAGCTGGGTGATCACAAACTCAAGTCCTGGCCAGGAGCGACAAAACAAGTAAAACGTCATTAATAATATACATCTTTAGGATGGAATACTGAATTTAAAACAGGTGGCTCATATATTTTGCAGTTTTAAGCCCAAAAATGACTTTAATTTAAACGTTTCATAAGAAAAGGGGAAAGACCATGAGGAAAGTGGGTATTAGAAAAAGGATCGCTTTGCACCTTGTCCTTGTCAGGACACGGTTTAAGACATAAAAAAATCTACCAGCAAGCACATTTATAGAAACATTACATATGCATGTGATGACAAGACGGTGAGATTTTGTCCATGAAACACTTCCAGATAGTTCCATAGTCCTGATAAGATGTTAAAGTGTCAGGCGGTACAGCTCTGATGTGTTCACAGAAGTTCTTGTGGGGTTGGGGGTGGATAGAGCTGAGCTTTTTTTAGTTTACACATCCCCAGGAGCAATTTGATAAGTTGGCCAACAGGGAGGCCAGATTCAGATAAGCCACAGTTGTTTGTTTTTATGCAAGCAGACTGTTTTTTTTTTTTTGTCAGCCTTGTGTTTTGCTGGTACTCTCATGATCCAAAATGGCCAAATTTGGGGGCTTTCCGCTGGTCCATGCTTATTAGCCTTCTCCAAGAGCAACTCCAACATGCTGGCAAGTTCCAGAAGCCGCAAGTGGCCTACGATTCTCATAAATCGCTTCCAGTTTATGGTTGGGCTTGTAAATCAGCTGAATCTGAGAACTTGAAGCACGAAGTAATCCTTCACGTAAGGTAGGCAGCTTTGCCATGGCAGAAACTGCTGCCGACGTCTTCCTTAATAGCCAATAACGTAGGTATCCACCAAAGCAAAAAGCAGAAACCCTGCTATTATAAATCCAATGTTGTATACATCTTCCACATCCTCCAGAGACAACACAGACAGGTACCTCAGCTTCCACTCCCCCCCAGGAATCCATGACGTGCCCAGCCGTGTGTGTGTGTCCGGGACATGAGGGTTCTCCAGCACCCTGTCGCGTGGCTGAAAAATTCTTATCAGTTGCGTTGAAAGTCCAGCTGACCAAATCCATAACTGTAATTTATGAGTCGGAAGATGTGTAAATAGAAGCTCCGATACACAGGGCAGAGAGCAAAAGCAGGAGGAAGGCAGGAGAGGGAAGAAAAGGCATCCGTCTTGCTCAAGGGCAAGTGAGGAAAAAATTATTATTTATAATTAATAATAAAAAAATAACTAATTAATTTATTATTATTATTTAAACATTAATGCCATTATAATTTTTCACAGTATGCAGTTATTTTTGCTGAACTACAAACAAGTTTTTTTGTCATAAGTGCTATAGCTAGCTGCTGTTTGTCCATACAAATTACCACTGGACTCTATGTAACTAACTGTGTGATGCTAAATGGATGGAGGTGGAAAGATTGATAAGACTTTCTTATGAACCGCTAGAAAACTTTGGATTGGAGTTGATTTATTAATATGACAGTAATCTACTTTAGTCTTGGCATTAGCTCATCAATTATGTTGGAATCGTTTTCACTCCAAAACAGAAGTTGTTTAAAGCTTTACACACCGCAGGTAATTTATTTAATAGTTTATAACCTTTCTACAAAACCCTACTTCAAAAATGTCACCGACCTCTTTTGAAGATACCACATTCAAACTGACACAATAAATAAATCCAGTTCCTTTTCAAACAGAGCAGCTGAATGTTTCACGTCTGGATGGTTTACCTGTCAGGGACCAGAGGTTGTATGAACTGAGATGCTGCCTGAATGTGTCTTTGGTTGCCTCTGGGATCTCAGGACCCAAAATGCTGAATGAAGACCCAATAATGACGTTGTATCTGTCACAAAAATACAGATAGAGAATTATTTAATCTAGAGTCTTTACAGGCTTCATGTTGATGTCTTTAACACAAGTTGGTGACTTCCGACCGGAACAGTAGTTAGTTCTGCTGTGACCTGTTTTCAATCCAGTGCAGCACAGGGTCCCACTCGTTCTTCTGGAGCTCGACCAAACCAGGAGGCTCTTCTACTCTGTAACTGCACACAACAAATCACTGTAGCGATCACAGGCAACAAAATGTTGATTCTGCTTCAGCAAGCGTGTTTGTATGCAAAATGAATGAGTCCTGAGGCATTTAAATCATCAAATGCATCATCTGATTTAGTTTTAATATTGTTGACATGGCGTTTACGTTTCAAAAATCAATCATAAAAACTGACAATTTATATTATTACACTTTATCACCTATATTTTACAAACAAATTTTAAAAACACACACAGAAAGCTATTATTAACAAGTCTAACTATTGAAAGTAAGATATGTTTTTAGCAATGTGGTAATTTAGATTTAAACTCAACACAGAAGCAAAAAATGTAGATCTAAAACATGTAGTTAAATATCTGAGATAGTTTGTAAGCACTTTTAAGGTGACCTCATATTGTTTGAACTAATAAAATCTATTTGTCATATTTATCAATGATCACAAATTCCCACTGAAGCATTAGTTATCTGAAAAGCTACACAAATGCCCATTTTATGTAATTAAATAAATGTAAATATGAGGCATACCAAATGGTGTCTGTTTCCAGAAACTTCAGAGAAGCTTTAATCATTTGGTCCTTGTCGCGCTGAGTGGGATTATCCAGAGCGGTGTTGCACAGGGTGGTCTGCAGGATGAGATTACTCGCTTTGTCAGTTTTAGCTTAACACAGTTACAATAAAACAACTCCAAACACGTATACAGAAGAACCACGTGCAACCTAATATTAGTAACAAGTCACTCACATAACCTCGGTGCGTCCCTGATTAATCAGCATGGTCCAGTTTTCAAGTGTTCACAGTTGAGTAATTTCATTCTCTGAGTAAATCTCTTCCAACTATAGGTTCAGTTTTACTACAAAGCTTCAATGTTGAGCATCTAAAGCAACTTATTATAAACGTATGTGCAGATATTTTGCCATTCTTGTGTAACACATGTTTATATGGTCAAACGCCATACCAGATGCATCGTGTAGAACTTGAGCGTGTCCCTTTGAGCATCCCACTCTGTTGCCACGGCGATGGCCAGGGCTTCATTGGGCACTGTGAACAGCTTCCCACCTGGAGTTTTCAGTTTCCTGCGGTCGAGGTTTATCTCATACAAGCCATCTGCACAAAATGTCATTATTATTGCACTTTTTTTTTTGGTTCAAGACAGACATTAAGCAGAAGAATGACACAATGGATTGAAAATAATTAAATATCTTTGTTACAGCAGATAAAAATCAGAAACATCTGGCACCAAAATGTTCTCCTACATAGATTTTACTCTTGTATTTTGGCCTTACCTTCTCCTTGGGATATGCTGACATCTTGATAAAACTTCTTCCTCTCTACTAATGAACAGCACATCACGTTATTACACATCTCTCCTCACCTGCTGATTTCAATAAAAAAATAAAAAAAAGATTTACTTTACCTGACGAGGCGGTGGAGTATTTCAGCGTACACCTGGAGTGCTGAGGCTTTGGGCACACTTTACAAACAACACCCCTAAATTGGGTTTTAAGTCTAACAATACTTCTAAACATAGCGCAAAATAGAGGAAGATGGCACCATAAAGTAAATCAACTGCAAGGGTTCCTGTTTGTAACTGGTTTTACTGAAAAAGGCGCCGCATTGTTAAATCAAGTGCCTTTTTTATTCTGAAATTGTAACTATTTAAAGTCGCTATTCTTGTCTTTTTGCTTTTTCTCCCTTCGTTTTGTCATCTAGCACGCCGAAGCTCGTGCTGTCAAAAACACGCGTGACCTTCGCTAATAGACAGTCATAAACTACTTAATATAATGGGAAATGTAGTTTTTACGTCCCTCCTCACAGACTTACAAAGCAGGGAAAAAAACTACATGCATAATGTCAGGTTACACCTTCCGCAAGTTCAGCCAATGAGCTTTTAGAATCTTAGTGAGGTGAACTCGATTGACCAATGAGAGAGCCGGATACTGCAGGCACCAGGCAGCGTCGCAACGTCGAAGTCTACACTTTCTCGGGCAGCTGGATAAACTGTGCTGTGAGGAATTAAGCTGAAATTGAATGTTACTGAGTCCAAGTAGTAGCTTTTAGGTGTTTGTAGAAGCCAACGCAAACTCTTTACCGCGGTTGCTGCCCAGCCAGCGAAGCGGGAGCCATGCCTGTCCCTGCTGGATACCTCAGCGACTCCCCCGCAGCGGCCTTCACGTCCTCGGCCTCTCTTATCCCGCCTCCACCGATAAACACCCAGCAGCCTGGTGTTGTCACCTCGCTCCTGTACAGCGGCTCCAAGTTCAGGGGACATCAGAAAAGCAAAGGAAACTCCTACGATGTGGAGGTTGTTTTACAGGTGAGGAAGTGGAGGCTAATGTTGATGTATTTGACATTTTGTTATGTATCATATCTGGCCTTGTGATGATGACTGACAGCTGTACAATCTGTCCTAACACAGACTAATTAATGTTTAATTAACATTCAGATAATTCAGTGCCACAGAGACTTCGTATGGGGTCGAATTAATAATGTAGTCAACATGTTTTAAAATCAAGACAAATATGCAGGCTTTAAATGTTTTTCACATGTTTTGTTGAAAATAAAATTTATGAAGCGTCATTAGAATTGCATGATGGCTATTTTAATGTAAAATTTTAAAGCCTGTTTTTGATTTGTTTTGTCCAAGCATGTCACAATGGAAGATTCCTATTTATGTGGCTACCTGAAGATAAAGGGATTGACAGAAGTGAGTAGTATTGGTTGTGTTGCTCTTACTGCTGAGTTTTCTTTCATGGGGACCAAAACAGCATATTTGATTAATCTGGCCATGATTTTTGTAAAGTCTACGCACAAATATTTGAGCGGAACGTAATACCCAATCTTCTAATCCTTCTGGATTTTGTGAATTTACAAGTGAACCAAGTATTATAATTGTATTTTCTAGTACAGCTTGTTTCAGAGGCAGCTCAGGCCTAATCATAACACTTCTACCACCATGTTTCACACGTAGTATGAAGTACAGCTACAAATTACCATTATTCTGCATCAGATTGTCTGCCTATTTGAATTAGACATATTTGATAATTAGTATTCATTTGTTGTTATATTCAAAAGGTAAAGTCTATACTTTTGTTGTGTCTTTATAACACTTTTGCACAGATAAAAGGTAGCTTTTTGGCTAATTCTGGTAAATTTACTGTACTTTTTACAAATACACAATGTTCTATTTATAAAGTGGCTAAACTGAATTGTATTTGGATTTGTCCCGTATTTTTTTTAACTTTATTATAAGCATTTTATCACTAGTTATTGCTATAAGTGCCTACTAATCCAGATACATACACATAAAAACTTCATGGGGATTTTTATATCTGTAAGTAATTTACAATTTTTATTTCAAAGAATGGTGCATTTTTTTTTAATTAAAAGCCCAAATTCAGGTAAGAAAACAGAAATGACAGGTTTTTGTCCTTATTAAGAAATCTCTAAACTCTGATACATGATGTGGAGGCTCTGAATTTAAGTTGATGGCTTTTATGCGCTCAGTAAAGCTGATCTGGATTTAACTTTTTTTATTCTTTTTAACCTGTTCTAAAGAGTTGAGTTTTAAAACAGACAAGCTGTTAATTTGAGTTTGTTAATGTAGGGTTTGATTGTTCAGATGCATTAAAAACTTTCTTCTTATAATAAATATGAGATCGTGAATACTAGTTTGACACACGGAATAAAATAATCTCCAGTACAAATTAAACAGTACAGACATTTGAGAACACATTTTTTAAATATAAATGTCTTAATAAGAGAGTATGTTCAACGATGGAGGGGAAAAAAATTAAAATAATGTCCAAGTTTGCATATTTGTTTCATCTAAACGAATATAAAATCGTAATCAAACCTAAAATGCTATAATTCTGTTTTGCTTGCGGTGTTTAGAGTGAATGAACTAAATATCAGTGGCGTCTTTAAACAAAGTAATTTTGTTTTTCCTGCTCCATCTTTAAATAATAAAATGTTGGATATGCTTGAAAGTGAACCTGACAGAGATGCATTCAGTTTGGATATGATATTCTTTCACTCACAAAGAGTAGAAAAGTGTTAACGAGCTCGTTTCTCTAGGAATATCCAACACTGACGACTTTCTTTGCCGGAGAGATCATCAGCAGGAAGAGGCCGTTTCTCACTCGGAAGTGGGACGCAGATGAAGACGTCGATCGGAAGCACTGGGTGAGGTGAAACTATTCCTACGCTGCTAAAGCCCTCCTTGACTAAATAGGTTAATTGTATTGTTTTTATTTTTTGTATAAAGGGCAAGTTCCAGGCTTTTTACCAGTATGCAAAGACATTTAACTCTGATGAGTTTGACTATGAAGATCTGAAGAACTCTGACTATATTTTCATGAGGTGGAAGGTAAGACGTTACCTAGATGTAGTGGACAGCGCAGCATATTTCAAGAAGTTGTGTTTAAGCTGCTGCTGCTGTTCCTCACTTTCACCTCCACCCCCTTCAGGAGCAGTTTCTGGTCCCAGACCACACAATCAAAGACATCAGCGGCGCTTCCTTTGCTGGATTTTACTACATCTGCTTCCAGAAATCCACAGCAACAATCGAGGGCTACTACTACCACAGGAGCTCTGAATGGTAACGTGACTTTGTGAGGACGTTGTGTTTGCTCGCCACTAAACGCTCGTAATCCCTGAGCTGCTGGAGAATCTTGTTGGGAGGAAAAACGTCAGGTTGCCCTTTAAGGGATAGTTCAGACACTTTCAAGTGGGATTCTGTGGAAAATATGGACAGTTAATATCTTACCTGTGATAGCTCTCTGAAATTCTTCATAATTTAACTCGGACTGGATTGATGAGCTAATGGTAGAGCTGGGCGATATCTCGATATTTTAAACATATCAATATAATTTTTTTGCGATTATAAGATGAGAGTATTTCGATATAAACAATATTATACTTGAAAATCTGCCTACTCTTCTTTCTCCCGAGCGGCCCCCTCCTCCCTCCTTCAGTTGTGCTCTCCCCACTTCCTGGAGGTGGGCGGGAGATGTTTAGCACAACAAGTAAACGTGGGAGATATGAAGAGCGGCTCAATGGCTGTTCTTTGGAGATGGTTTGGATTTAAATTGTCAGATGAGCAGCAGAAAAATGTTTTCTGTAGGCAACGCTGAAAACAAGTCCCGATACTCGGCACGACAAATCTTTTTCAACATTTCAAACAGCGCTATAAGTGGAGTGTGAAGCGTGAGTGAAACTGCAGGTCCGACAGACTTCAGCCTCCTTCCCTGAAACAAACCACGAGTCAAAACTCATTTAGCCGTGCTGTGCCTTGTGAATGGAACAGTGAGGTGGTGCGACATTAAAGCGGTGGATAATCATATCGGCTAACAAGACGGCTAAAATTAGGACATGATTATCCACTTCTTTATTAATGTGGTGCTTCCTCCTCTCACTGTAACGCTGGAAAATCTGTGTACAGTAGTTCTTTTTCTGCTCGTCCAACTTCACGCGTGAAGGCGGCACAGCTGAAGAGGATTATTATTTAATATATATATATGTAAATAATTGTCTAAAAAAACAAACTTAAATATATGTAAATAGTTTATTTTTTAGACATTTATTTTGTACAGTTATAGCTGTTATAAATAAATGTATCTGTGTGATAACTGGGACAAAGCTTTGACTCAGAAATATATTTTTGTTATTACTTTATACTTAAGTGCTACAGCTAGCTGCTTATGCTGCTATTTACACTCACAAATAACAACAGAATCCTCTAAATACTTGTTTAATGTAAGACCAGCGCACCCATCAGCCACATTAATGATGAAATTGATATTAAATTGATTAAAATAAAAATAAATTTAGAATATAAAAATAAATTTAGAACATTAAAAGGCCTCCTGTTTTCTACTTTGTTAGTGAAATAAATGTGGTATTTAAAGTTAAGATGAGTAATGTTTGAAAGGTTTATTGTAATACAGTGCTTGCTTTTAGAAACAAACACTTTTTGAGTTAATATAGATTTTTATATGAATAGTCTAGCATGACTATCATATATATATATATATAAATATAATAATTTTTTATTTTTTTTAAATAAGTATATATGTTAACAAGATTTGTTGCTGACCAGTCAGTGAGTGAATGTGACACGCTAGATTTATAGATTTATTTATTTTTTTTCTGTTCCGTCAGGTCAGATTTTAGTGATTACAATTGCTCCCACTCAACTACAGGTCCTTCTCAAAAAATTAGCATATTGTGATAAAGGTCATTATTTTCCATAATGTAATGATAAAAATGAAACTTTCATATATTTCAGATTCATTGCACACCAACTGAAATATTTCAGGTCTTTAATTGTTTTAATACTGATGATTATGGCATACAGCTCATGAAAACCCAAAATGCCTGTCCCAAAAAATTAGCATATCATGAAAAGGTTCTCTAAACAAGCTATTAACCTAACCATCTGAATCAACGACGTAACTCTAAACACCTGCAAAAGATTCCTGAGGCTTTTAAAAACTCCCAGCCTTGTTCATTACTCAAAACCGCAATCATGGGTAAGACTGCCGACCTGACTGCTGTCCAGAAGGCCATCATTGACACCCTCAAGCAAGAGGGTAAGACACAGAAAGAAACTGCTGAACGAATAGTCTGTTACCAGAGTGCTGTATCAAGGCACCTCAGAGGGAAGTCTGTGGGAAGGGAAAAGTGTGGCAGAAAACGCTGCACAACGAGAAGAGGTGACCGGACCCTGAGGAGGATTGTGGAGAAGGGCCGATTCCAGACCTTGGGGGACCTGCAGAAGCAGTGGACTGAGTCTGGAGTAGAAACATCCAGAGCCACCGTGCACAGGCGTGTGCAGGAAATGGGCTACAGGTGCCGCATTCCCCAGGTCAAGCCTCTTTTGAACCAGAAACAGCGGCAGAAGCGCCTGACCTGGGCTACAGAGAAGCAGCACTGGACTGTTGCTCAGTGGTCCAAAGTACTTTTTTTGGATGAAATCAAATTTTGCATGTCGTTCGGAAATTAAGGTGCCAGAGTCTGGAGGAAGACTGGGGAGAAGGAAATGCCAGAAGTCCAGTGTGAAGCACCCACAGTCAGTGATGGTCTGGGGTGTCATGTCAGCTGCTGGTGTTGGTCCACTGTGTTTTATCAAGCACAGGGTCAATGCAGCTATCAGGAGATTTTGGAGCACTTCATGCTTCCATCTGCTGAAAAGCTTTATGGAGATGAAGATTTCATTTTTCAGCACGACCTGGCACCTGCTCACAGTGCCAAAACCACTGGTAAATGGTTTACTGACCATGGTATTACTGTGCTCAATTGGCCTGCCAACTCTCCTGACCTGAACCCCATAGAGAACCTGTGGGATATTGTGAAGAGAAAGTTGAGAGACGCAAGACCCAACACTCTGGATGAGCTTAAGGCCGCTATCGAAGCATCCTGGACCTCCATAACACCTCAGCAGTGCCACAGGCTGATTGCCTCCATGCCACGCTGCATTGAAGCAGTCATTCATGCAAAAGGATTCCCGACCAAGTATTGAGTGCATAACTGAACATGATTATTTGAAGGTTGGTGTTTTTTGTATTAAAAACACTTGTCTTTCATTGGTGGGATGAAATATGCTAATTTTTTGGGACAGGCATTTTGGGTTTTCATGAGCTGTATGCCATAATCATCAGTATTAAAACAATTAAAGACCTGAAATATTTCAGTTGGTGTGCAATGAATCTGAAATATATGAAAGTTTCATTTTTATCATTACATTATGGAAAATAATGACCTTTATCACAATATGCTAATTTTTTGAGAAGGACCTGTAGTTTAGTTATGGACTGACACTTCACATTTGGCTGCAGTCTGCCTTCTGGGGAATCTTATAATTACCAGCCACAATGACTATGCCATAACAACAGACAGAAACCTGTGACTGTTCATTTCAGTTGTCATATAATTTCAATTCAGTTTATTTACATAGCGCAAAGTCACAACAGAATCATCTCTGAGCACTGAACAGAAACAATCATATAACAATGTTCAGTCAGGTCATCTGGAGGTTTTTTTTTTTTTTTTGCTGAGACGTTTCGTCCTTCATCCAAAGGAGTTCTTCAATCTGAGGAGCCACCAAACAAACTGAGTCCCCCAAACAGTGTACTCCATAGTGGAAAAAAAACAGTTTGCTGGTGATAAGATGGCCTCCGGGGCCATCCAAGATTTTTTTACCTGGATTAACGAGCATGAACTTTGATGTTTTGAACCACTTTGGCATGACTGCCTCAGAGGAGTTGACGGGGGAGAGGGTGGACCCTGGAGGCCAGCTTATCACCAGCAAACTACTTTTTTTTTCCCACTATGGGAGTGTGGTATTTGTGGGACTCAGTTTGTTTGGTGGCTACTCAGATTGAAGAAGTCCTTTGGATGAAGGACAAAATGTCTCATCAAAAAAAGAAACCATTCAGTTGACCTGACTGAACATTGTTGGATTTATACCTGGATTATTAAGCATGGACGTTGTTACACACATATACATAAAATTCAGTTAGTAACATTATTTATCTAAGGTAGGGTAGCGAGCAGATTGCGTTGTCTTCATTTTGTCGCAGTCTGCCATCCTGACCAAGAACAAGGCAACAGTGGAAAGAAAAACTCGCTCATAACAGGAAGAAAGTTCCAGTAGAACCAGGCTCAGGACAAGCAGCGGCTGCTTCGACTGACTGGGTTTGAGAGGACAGGAAGGAGAGACGGACACAGAATGGCAGGTCCAGAATGGAGACAAGCAGGTCTGTCTTTAGGAGGAAAGATAAAAAAAACTAAACAAAAAAACAAATGCATGTTAAGGGAAATAATTATAAATACAAACTATGCATTTGTAACTATTTATTTGATGAAATGTGGTCAGTTTGTCCTCTAGCAGTCTAAGCCCATAGCAGCATAGGATAAGGAATAGATCAGGAAACCAAGCTAATCCTAACTATAGGATTTATCAAAAAGGAAAGTCTTAAGCCCAGTCTTAAAATTAGACAATGTGTCAGCCTCATGGACAGAAACTGGAAGTTGGTTCCACAAGAGAAGAGCCTGAGAACTGAAAGATCTTCCTCCCATTCTGCTTTTGGAAACTCTAAACCTGCTGTCCGAGAGTAAAGTGCTCCATTAGGAAAATATGGAACAATAAGATCTGTAATATACTGCCAAGCCAAAAAAAAAGTTGCCACCTGGATTTAACTAAGCAAATACATACAAGCCTCCTATTGGATAATTATCTTTCAGCTGGAAACAAGTTATTTGACCCCATCTGGTGCTGAGTTGCTTCTCATTTCTTAAACAACCATGTTGAAAGACACATCGCGTGGTTGTGGAAAAGATGTCGTCTGTTTCAGAAGGGTCAAATTATTGGCATCAAGCAGAGAAAACATCTAAGGAGATTGTAGAAACTACTAAACTTGGGTTAAGAACTGTCCAACGCATTATTAAAAACTGGAAGGATAGTGGGGACCCATCGTCTTAGAGGAAGAAATGTGGCTGGAAAAAAATCCTGAATGATCGTGATCGGCGATCACTTAAACGTTTGGTGAAATCACATCTAAGAAAAACAACAGTAGCACTCAGGGCTGTGTTTAATAGTGAAAGTAAGAGCATTTCCACATGCACAATGTGAAGGGAACTCAAGGGACTGGGACTGAACAGCTGTGTAGCCTTAAGAAAACCACTACTCAGTGAGGCTAACTGGGGAAAAAAGGCTTAAATTTGCTAGAGAGCATAAAGATTGGACTCTGGAGCAATGGAAGAAGGTCACGTGGTCTGATGAGTCCAGATTTACTCTGTTCCAGAGTGATGGCTGCATCAGGGTAAGAAGAGAGGCAGGTGAAGTGATGCACCCATCATGCCTAGTGCCTAGTCATCAGCGCAAGAGCTTGGTGAAAAATTAATGCAACACTGGACGGAAATAGATCTTGTGACATTGAAGAAGTTTATTGAAACAATGTCACAGAGAATGCTGCTGTAATCAAAGCTAAAGACGGTCCAGCGTGTGACCGTTTATTTTTTTTTTTTTGGTGGCAACTTTTTTTTTGGCCAGGCAGTGTATAAGATGGAGCTAGGTTGTTGAGAGCTTTGTAGATTAGAAGTAAGATTTTGAATTCAATTCTGGGCTTGACCAGGAGCCAATGGAGAGAAGCTAAAACCAGAGAAATATGATCTCTCCCACTAACTCCAGTTAAGACTCTGGCAGCAGCATTTTGGATTAAATGAAGACTTTTTAAAGAAGTTTTTGGACACCCAGATAACAAACCATTTCAATAGTCCAGTCTAGACGTGATAAAGCAGCTCTGATATGTGTGTGGGGGGGGGCAGTCTCTAATTAACCTTGTGTTGTTTCTCTGCAGGTACCAGTCTTTAACGCTCACCCATGTTCCCGAGCACAGTGCAGCCATCTACGAGTTCCGGTGACCGCCGTGGCTTTCAGCGCCATCTCTTCAGTTGGAAATGCGAACGCCTGCAGATTCTACTGAGAAGAAAAAGGAAACCAACTTGGGTCGAGATTTTGATGTTTTAAGACGTAAAACAAACAAAAAAAAAAACACTTCCCATTTTCTCGAATTGGCAGCTGACGGTGAGCACACGGGACTGAAGACTAATGAATGTACGGCTGAGATGAAAACGGGAAGAAAAAAAAAGTGCGTTTCAGTGCTCGCCGGACAGAACTTGTGATGTCCAAACTAACAGCAAGGACTGGGCGTGGCTCATACAGTTCTCGTTACTTTATTTGTTTTAACGTCTGGTTTTAAAACGCTTAAATTATGACACTTTAAAGGCCTTGTCGGGGTATTTCCTCCCCTTCTTGGTTTGCATATAGGAAAAGATCTCAGCAGCACACACGCTGAACCTGTTGGACAAGGACTCATCTGAGGAGTTCGCTCTGAGAAGGACGAAAAATTTCCAAGTTTGAGGAGGAAAAACAAGAGAGAAGTTTGTAAAGTTTAAAGACAGGAGCTTTAATATTTCTGAAGCTAGAGAGACAGTATTTTTAAGCTAAACTGAGTCTTTGTTTGCCTGCCAAGAGTATATTTTCTTATTTTACTCCTAATGATGAACAATGAGTGGCACTTTTTTAAAAGGTACAATCTGGGAGATTCCTGAAATAAGCTTTTATTTTTCTCCCTCCCCCCCCCCCCCCCCTCCTTTCTCATAATCTTGCTTTTGAGCATAGGATTGCTGTGGATTTTCTTCTGAGTTGTATTTGCACAGATTATATGCTACTAAGATGTTTGGGTTTGAAAGCATCCCAGTACACAGACGTCAAGACATGTTCGAAGTAGTTTCGTCTAAAAGTATTCAACCCCTTCAGTCTGCATGAAACATGGAACTTTTTCACTGAAGAGTCCCATCGTTTATTTTTCCTCAACTATGCAACACTAGAGTTCCAAACACAAGACCCTGAGTTTCAGCAGTGAGATTTTAGTCTATCCTTATAATATATATATGTATGTATATATATTATATAAAAAAAAAAGATTTATCTTCCTATTTTGTTAAATTGCTTATGATGACACTCCTCCCTGATCATGCTCCTCTTCCATGTGATTGTGCCATCTTTTTTAAAAGCTTGTCAGAGTTGTAATGTGACAGATCGAAGGTGTGTTTGTGAAAAAGACGAACTTATTGATGGTAAAGAGTGGATTGTGGATTTTTTTTCTCAAGAAAAAAGTTCTTCAGTGTGTCTTTCTTATTTCACTGCCTTACTTTGTCTTCATTTATATTGTTCTCAAGTGTTTCTGATAGGGTTAGTTAAAAAAAAAAAAGCCTAAATTTAATCAGAACTAGACTTATGGTTTTCCTGTGCTGCCCTCTGGTGGACTGTATTCACACTGCAACTTTAAACTCATGAGAAATGCTGCTAATTTAACTAAAAGAGAAAAGGGTGTTTTTAGACAATAGTTCTGTGAATTTAAAGAAAGTCTGCTGAGTTACGTTTCCTGGAGAAGATGTCAGAACATTTTGATGCTGGCACCAAAGACCAAAAGCATATTTTGGGTTCAGCTTGCGTTTTCTTTGCTTCATCTTGGCTGAGTTTAACAAAGACTTGTCAAAGGCACAAATCAAATCTCAACTAAAGTTTTAGAAAACAGTGGAGGCAACAGTTATAAAAGTAAAATGTCGTGAAGAGATACGTTCCCTCTGCTTCCTCGAGAGTTCAAGTTTCAAAGCTGCTGCACGGTGTGTCAGCGCTCAGTGTGTTGGGAGGACATTCAGCTACTACCACACTTGATATAGCTTAATGCAAAAGTAGCCGAATTGTTGCCATTTTTTGCGTTAGCTAAGGTTGATTAGCTGTGGCAGCCATCTTTAACTCAGAACATCAGTCTTAGATGGACGTCCAATGATTACTTTTATAGTTTCATAAAAATGTGTCCAGTGGTTTATGATATATTTTACTAACACATACAGATGGTTTCATGATTGGTTGATGAACAGATCAATACTAAACATAATGAGTAAAAACAAGATTTATTGGTTAACCTGTGGCTCTAAGACCTGCAGCTTTTTGTAGCGTTGAACAATAAAAACATGGAAATGAACATTTATATTCAGACTTTTACACCAGGAGAGGATTTTATAGGTTTCCATTCTGATTTCACGCAAGCAGCGAGTAAAAGTTCAGCAACTCGCATCAGCTGTGTTTTTGATATTGCCAATAAATTTGTGTTTTTATGTTTATAGCTGTAGAGTTTACAGTAAAATTAGGTTAAATACAGAAAACCTCAAACTACAAGGATCCTTTGTATTACCCTGTTCAAATAAAAAGGGTAAACAAACACTTCAAATTTTAACGATCTGACGTTTTTATTTCCTCGTTCCACGAGTCACTTGTAATAAAGCAAATATGCAGAAGACCAAACGTGCCAAGAATTGTGCCCGATGGAAACTAAATAAACATTTTATATGTGTCAGCTTGGAATCTAGCGTTGAAGCAAAAATATGATTTTATGTGCTTTTATTTATTTGACAAAAAACAAGCAGCAGGTGCACAATCTTTCTCATTAAAATCATTCAGTCTTTATTTATACAGGTTAGTCTCACTGAGCCACGAGGACTCATTTACAAGAGAGACCTGTTTTAGTCTGACAGTAAACTAGAGTAAAATGCAATTAAAATAAAAGTTATAAAACAATAAATCAAGGTGCCACATAAAACGAGGTGAAATACTAAAAACGAGAATATATTTGCTTTGATATTTCTATTGACATTAAATGTTTGAACCCCCGTAAATAAAGTAGGGACAAGTTACTGTTGCAAGGTGTTGCAGGAGCTGAGTAGGAAAAGACCTTTTTGCCTATAAGTCCACACTGAGGGAACGCTGCAGGTAATGATGGCCTGAGAGCGCACGCTGTAACTGCACTGACAACGTGACATGTGTGAGGAGATATAAGAAGGTAGCAGACCAAGAAGGGATTTATAGATGAAAATGAACCAGTGCCTAGATGATGACCAACTGACCAAGGAGTACAGGGTGCAGTGATGGTACAGTAGTTACGATAAATTATAAATCTTAGCACACTACACAGCATCCAACATCTGCAAGGAGCTGGCAGAGGCATTCATGTACATAATGTCATAGTGGCCAGTAGGAAAGTAACGGTTACGAGGCGTTTTCTGGCATTCAGAATTATTCAAGATCTATTTCTGAAAAAGAAACCCAGTTTTAATTTCAGTTTCTTCATCAAGTTTTTGATATCGACCAAAATTTCCAAGTATTTGTAAGAATCTACAAAGTCAATTCATTATTCAACCTTTATTTAAATACAGGTTAATCCCATTGAGCCTCGGGGACTCATTTACACGAGAGACCTACAAACTCAATAGGAACACCATGCATGGATGAGATAGGAAGAACTGCTGGCACCAACTTTCTGTTTGAAAATAGCATCCCTTTGGTTTTATCATCATTTAGCAGCAGCTTAAGACGGAATAAGTCTGACTGAATGATGTCAAACGCAGACTGTAGAAGCTGGAAAACCTTAGCAACTGTTAGCTCAACACTTGTATTATCAGCATAGAGATGCAAGGATGTGTCAGGAATGTTTTGACCTACATTATTTATATAAATTGTAAAGAAGAGTGGGTCCTAAAACTGAGCCTTGTGGCACACGCAGTAAAACTGACATGAAAAACATCATAAGTATGTTCACATGAGCACACATAATGAAACGTATTGTGCTCATGTGTGTGACAAAACACTTTCATTTTGCTTCTAAAGGCGTTCCTTTAGTTTTTGGGGAAACGATTATGAAACCGCGCCTTCCTGACAAACTACCTGAGCCAGCTGCCCGACTGCTCGGAGGGGTTGTTTTCTTACTAGAAGTGTCACTAATAATAGAAGCAGATGAAAAGAAACACAGTGAGCCTATTGTGAGAAAGGAAAGTACTTGTGGAATCCAGAGGCGCCATTTTTCTCATTAACTGTAAATCAATTGCACTATCGTTGAGGCTGTCATCACTCGTAAAACCAACGGAAATTCCATAAAATAAAAAACGGAACAAGTTGTTTTGTTTTTGTTATCAAAAATAAATGGCCTGAGAGAGTTAACAAAAAACAAACAAATTTTCAGTCTGCTTGTTGAGTTTTGCACGGCACAGTGGAACAGTGGGTGGTGCTGTCGCCCCACAGTAAGAAGGTCACAGGTTTGCCTCTCAGCCTTTCTGTGAGGAGTTTACATGTTCACCCCATCTGGGTGATCCAGCTCCCTCCCACAGACCCCAAACTTTCATGTTTGCTTAATAAGTGTGTCAGAATGTGAGTCTGTCCTGTTTGTCTCTGTGTCCCCTGATGGACTTGTGACCAGTCCAGGGTGGACACTCTTGCACAATGACTGCTGGAGATAATCACCAGTGACCCGGTAAAGAAAAAGGATGGATGGATGTTGGGTTTCACTTTCATGTACATTTGATTGTTCTCTCTTTCGCTCTTGACGAAGACAGTCCCTTCACCTGCTCCTGCCTCCCCTCCTGCTTTTGCTCTTTTGTCCTGTGAACCTCCTCAGAGCCTCTTAACACATCTTCCAAATAGAAAATTATTATGGATCTAGTCAGCTGGTCTCTCAACCCAATTGATAAAATTTTCTCAATGAGAAGACAGGGTGCAGGAGAACTCTCGTGCACTGAAGGGACACACGCAGCTGGACATTTCATGGTGTGTTTGGAAGATGATGTGCTGTCTGAGGACGTAGAAGATTGGATTAATGATAACAGGGTTTCTGTGTCGGCTGCTGAGTGGTGCTATTTTTAATTTAGTCAGACAGAAAAATTATTAAACTGATATCAGCAACGCCACCTAGTTAAACTAGGAATAAAATTAGGTCACTCATCGCAGGGGTGAGCAGTGTTTCACAAAACAGCCAGTAGAGGTTTACCACAATTTATCAGAACAAGTGGAAAACACTGCAGCAGTCCAAATGTTAAAAACTAACCAAATTCTGTCTAATAAACGGATTAAAAGGGCATCACGGTCAGTAGCAGTCTGAGAGGAAAAAGAACCAGAGTCTTAGCTGAAAGGGGCGTGGTCCTCTCACCCTCGCACGGTGCTCCCAGGCGGTCCAGAGTCTCGACCTTCAGTGATCTCCTGGCACTCTATCCAGAGTTCGGCATCCCTCCACGGCCTCAACCTTACCCGGCGCTCGTTCCTCCTTGAGTCCGGCGTCCCATGGCGACCTCGACCTGCAATGATCTCCAATGCTCGGTCCTCCGCCCTCGACACCAGACCCGGATGACTGCACCCTCCAATCGGGCATGATCCACCGTGCCGACCAGCCTTGCTAGTTTCTTGGGTGCATCCTTACCCCCTCTAGTCTCTGTTCTTAATCACTGCGACTTCAGTTTCTGCCAATCTGCTGCTCTGCTGACCGGCTTGTCTCCAGCTGTTGCCCCTCAGCGGTGGTTGCACACCCGACCATTGCACTCCTCGACCACCACGCCTCCCGCCCCTCCGCGGTGGTTGCGCGCGTCTGTGGTTCCATCTCTGCTGCTGCGTTGCACCTCTCTGCGCATTGTTCTGCTCTTTTTATCTCCCCATTCCTGGCATCCATGCCATTACGGTTGATGGGGAACACCTGCGTGAGCTCATGTCTCTGGCCATATCATGGGTGGCAGCCTCAAAAATAATGTACAATAAGTGATTAGTGAGGTTAAATAAAACATACAAATAAAACACAAAAAGCCATATTATTACATCTGCTTGTTGGAATCGACGGATACCTGGGTTATCAGCTAACTAAGAAGACGTCGGCAGCAGTTTTGGCAATAGTAAAGCTGCCCACCTTATGTGAAGGATTACTCCATGCTTCGAGCTCTCAGAAAATTTGCTTTGTGAGCTGAACTGTAAATTGGACACGATTTCTGAGAATCGTCGGCCACTTGCAGCTCTTAGGACTCGTTGGCATGAAGGAATCAACCTTGGAGAAGGCTAACAAGCACGGACCAGCAGAAGGTCCACAAATCTGGCTGTTTGGATTTGTCATCGAGTGTACCAGCAGAACTGAAGGCAGACACGTCAGTAGAGTCGGCCTGCCCAAAGCAATTGTTGTTTATCTGAATTTGGCCTCCCCGCTGGCCTTGGACAGGCCAACTTATCTCAAATTGCTCCTGGTGGATATGTAAACAAAGAAGCTCTGC